TTTTTTTTTCAGAACCGGGGGTTGAACTCAGGCCCTTGTGCTTGCCAGGCAAGCGCTTATTCTACTGAGCCATCTCCCCAGCCCCAAGTTTTATCATTCTTTATAGCTGTGTAGTACTCCATTATATACAAGTACCACATCTTTTTCAACCATTCCACATGTGACGGGCATCTTGGTTGTTTCCAAGATCTGGCTATCACAGATTGTGCTGCTATAAACATAGGCACACATATATCCCTATGATACGACACTTTTAGTTCCTCCGGGAAAATTCCCAGTAGGGGGATAGCAGGCTTGAATGGGTTTCCAGCCCTAGTTTTCTAAGGAGTCTCCACACTGATTTCCATAATGGTTGCACCAGTCTACACTCCCACCAGCAGTGGAGAAGGGTTCCCTTTTCCCCACAGCCTCTCCAGCATTTGTTGTTGGTTGATTTCTTTATGATAGCCATCCTTTCTGGGGAAGTTTAGTTCTTGCAGACTACCCCAGTGCCTTTAAGACTCATGGCCTGACATCTGTGGAAAGCTGAGTCACAAGCCAACACTGTGGCCTCTGTGACATCTCCAAGCCCTCCTGCCCTTTCTTTCATCTGCTGCAGTTTGGACTTGCTAACTGGCAGGCTGTGGCGCACCACGCAGGCACAGGTGAGGCGTGGCGGGCATCGCCGGCCAGCTGTCAGGGCTGCTTGAACACACGGTGCGTTTGGTGTAGACGGTATGCAGAGCACCTCATCTGTGCCTCTCCACAGGGAGCTCCTTGTGGCTGTGTCAGAGCAGCAAGGACCTGTGCAGCTTGAGTGCCCAGCACGTGGAGTGCCGGCCATCCACGGTGCAGCTGCCGCCCGATGCCGAGATGTGCGCCTACGCTGCCTGCCAGGACGCGCTGTGGGCCCTGGACAGCCTCGGGCAGGTGTTCATCCGCACGCTGTCCAAGAGCTGCCCCACAGGCATGCACTGGACAAAGCTGGACCTCTCGCAGCTAGGTAGGGTTCTCAGGCGCGGCACCTGGCCACCCTGAGCTGCTTTGGGTGAGTCCTGTGGGCGTGATGGCAGCTGCTGCATTTCAGGAGGCCAAGTGGCTGCTCTTCTGGGCTGAATGCACCTCCTGCTTTTGTAAGGATCCGCCTTCCCACCCCTAGGGTCTACAGGATTTTCAGCACCCAGCGTGTCTGCGGCACGCCCAAGAGTTGCCATGAGGAAGTGCTTAGAATAGCACTGCTGTACAGCTGCCTCTGCCTACCCGAGTGTGGGGCAGAGCCCTGGAACTTCTAAATCTGAAAACTCGAGGCTGGCTCAGGGCCCTGGGCCCCACTCGGGCCGTGTGCCCAGCTGCGGGCTCTTGCTCAGCCAGGCAGCCTGCTGCTGCTGACCACTTGGTTCTCCTCCACCCCAGGGAGCATGGGCTACGCAGTATGGCACTGTCTGTGAATGGTTCAGTCAGAGGCCAAGGGCTGGCACACTTACTCGACAATACTGGGCTATTACACCCTTGGTGGACTTAGAGCCTTGAGGGTTTTATCTTAAAGCCAGAGGCCACAGCAGGCAGCTCCCAGGATAGGAAGTGGGCTTTGCTGTGTGGGCCTGTAAGGAGGGTGTCGAGGGCACCGCAGGTGAGCTGTTAGCAAATGTAATTTTTTTCTTTTGCCAGGCAAGTGCTTATTCTACTGAGCTATCCCTCCAGCTCCCTTCTTTTCCTTTTGATGTGGGCTGGGATCCAGGGTTTGTACATGCTCCCAAGCACTCCAGCGCTGACCCATCCACCAGCCTTTAGTTTCTCATCTTTGAAGGTTCCCCTCACATCTTTTTATCATATGATTAACAAAGAAAAACAGAAGAAAATGATTCTTAGTTCATTCTAAGTCTCACCGGGCTCAAGTTCATGCCTTACCACAGCAATCGCCTGTCAGGTTGAGCTCATGTGGGCCTAGGCTGAGACACGTACCCGCCTGATGGCCCCAGGCACTGGTGACTGCTTGGCCTGCAGTCTAGGAGGCGCCATGTGGCGCCGGGCAGGTGGCAGAGCAGCTAGAGACCTTCACGACTCCCTGCCCTGCATGTTCTCAAGCCTCGGCCAAGGCCACACCTCAGGGTGCACGCCAGGGTTCAGCCAGTCGCAGCCTCCCCCTTCCTTTGAAGTATAGAATCAAAGTTCGCAGATGAAATGAGAGGTTAGGCACTCTACACACATAATTATAGCACAAGCACCTGTTTACCTGCAGGAGCCGTACAGCTGACCAGCCTGGCCTGTGGAAACCAGCATGTCTGGGCCTGTGACTCCAGGGGTGGAGTCTACTTCCGGGTTGGAACCCAGCCCCTGAACCCCAGCCTAATGCTCCCCGCCTGGATCGCCATCGAGCCACCAGTGCAGGTAGGCCCCCTGTTCTGCGCAAGAGCCGCAAGAGCCGTGCTCCCGGTCCTTGGCAGGGGACTGCTCCACTCACTGCTTCCCGAGCTCAAAGTCTGTGTCTGCAAATTTTCTCGATGAACCCACTACTGAGGATTATCTGAGTACACATTTGAATCTTCTATCTGAAAACAAAAGGGTTTATGTCTGACTTTACAAAATGAACCTTATTTTTTTCCAAATCAAGCAATACCAGAGGGGGGTGATGGCACATGCCTACAACCCCAATTGCTGGGAGGCTGAGGCAAGAGGCTCAGGCGTTAGAGGTCAGCCTAGGTTCTATAGGGAATTTAAAAACACCTGAAAAACGGGCCCAGGAGATGGCTCAGTAGAATAAGCACTTCCCTGGCAAGCACAAGGGCCTGAGTTCAATCCCTGGTTCCGCCAAAAAAAAGAAAAACTTTATGGAAGAAACCCAAACAATATCCAAAGGTGTAAGGAGGGTAAATGCCCTGTAAACTGGTGGAGCTGTGTCTCATCAGTGTTTTGTGCTGCCTTCTTGGTTGGCCACCCCACAGTGCTCGGGCAGAGGTCCGACTTTAGGCATCACTTAGGTGCCTCTGAAGACCTGTGCATGTGGTTCCTGTGCCAGGCATGTTTCTGTGAGAATCTGGTGTGATGAGAGCCTTTGTTCACACGCCTGCTGTCCCCGAGCTCAGGCCTTGTTGGAGACGAGAAGCTGCCATGTGTGGAGACCCCTGAAGGGGAGACAGGGCACTGGCCTGGAGTCAGGATGCCTGTGCTCCTGACTGTTCTAGGGGTGAGGATGAGGCCACAGAGATGCAGGGACACAGTCAGACATGCGAGTCGGCATCGAGACCGTGCCTGAGGCAGGAGGATCCCTCGAGCCCAGGAATTGGAGGCCAGTGTGGGCAGCATAGCCAGACTGTCAGGCCTGGAGGTCCCTCCTCCTCTGTGTGTTGTGAGAGGGCCAGTGGAATGATGGGGACCATGGTGCCTGGTGGGTTACGAAGTGCCGCTCCCCAAGGTCATGCATAGGGAACCTTGACTCACACACAGTGGTGGTCACTGGTACGCCAGGCCATCCCTGCGGAGACGTGCTTGTCACTGACCTTGTCAGCGCTGCAGCTGCACGGTGACAGTGACAGCAAGCTGGCCTGCAGGTGGCTACTGGCCCCAGGTTCTATCCTACGGAAGGAAGGATGTAGATAAGTGGGTGAGTGAGCTGGCGTGTGGCTCGGGGAAAGAGCACCGGCCAAGCATGAACAAGTCCCTGGGTTGGTCTCCAGCACCACAAAGACAAAACGTGTTCCGATTCGCACACCAGAAAATTCGTGCTGATGACTCAGTGACTCCTTCGTGCATTCCTGAGGAGGCCGTGCAGCAGCCCCGCCCCATCTCGTTTCCGTTGCCTAGGTTTCCTATTTGCACACTTCCATAAGCACTTTCCTGAGTCCCGTGTTGTCAGAGGTCATCTGTGCTGTGGCCCCCACGTATCCTCCTTGTTCCTCTTCAGGCCTGGTAATGCTCCAGCTGGAGACCATATCCTGTGCGTGCATCCAGTAGCCCAAGCGTGTGCTACTACGCCCTGCTGCTGGCTTCAGGACACTGTGCCTAATCTGTTGCCTAGTCCAGCACCAGACTTACACCTGTGTTTCCTGTCAGGAGCTTTATAGTTTTAGTTCTTCCTTTGAGGTGTTTTATACATCGTGAGTTAATGTTGTATATGCCGTGATGTAGGCGCCTGGATTCATCTTCTGTACGCAGATACCCAGTTCTGCTGACATCTTTAATTGACAAGACTGTTCCTTCCCCCATGAAATCGTTCTGGCTCCTTTGTTGCAGTCAGCCGATCGCGGGCCGAGGGACTAGTTTGTCACCGCACCCTTCTGTCCCACGCCTTGAATTCCTGTCCTTGGGAACTGTCCTACACGCTTACCCTTGTTATAATTATGAGTCCCCCAGGTTTTTCAAGATTGTTTTGACTAGTCAGAGTCTCTCCTATAGCCACGTGAATTTGCAACTTTTTGATCACTTCTGCCAAAAAATGCCCGCAGCAGTCGCACGGACCACAGATGGGGGTGGAAGTTTCGCAGTCTGAGCTCTTTCCCTCCGTGAGCGCCTTCCCATTTATTTAGATCTTTCTTTTCATTTAGTAATGTTCTACAGTTTTCAGAATATATGCTTTATCCTTTATTAAAGTGACTCCTAAGTCCTTTTTGATGTTAACATGGAATAATATGGAATTATTAGTTTCAGATTGTCTATTGATATTATAGGCTTTTGGTTTTATGCTTTTTTTTTTTTTAGATTTGGTGTTCTGTTTTGGAGACAGGCCTAGGCAGGCTGGCCTTGAACTTGCGCTCCTCCTGCCTCAGGTTTTTGAGTGCCTAGATTACCAGATCGCTTCCCAGCACCTGGCTTATTCTTATGTATTGATTGACGGGATTGTGATCAAGCTGCTGCTCATAGAACAAAGATAGCAGCAGGCTTTTATTGATTTGCCAAGGTGGGCGAAAGTTCAGTGATTTCCATTAGCCAGAGCCAGGGTTTGAAAAGAGCGTCTCATGATGGACTTGGACCACTGGGTGACAATAGTCCGCTCCTCCTAGTTGTTGAATTTTCCTGTGTCTGGTGTTGCCGTCCTCATAAAATGTTCCAGCCTTGTACGCAGCGAGCTGATTCAGGGCCAGCGTCATTCAGGAGCTGCTAAGTGACTTTCGAGGCAGGTCCCATCCTGTATGGCCACCTGGCCTTTAGGTGGGGGGCAGACTCTTGCCCAACCTTCCTGTAGTGATGGGACAGAGCGTGGCATCGCATTCCCCGGGGAGGACTCCCCTTCTGGGAAGACCCCCCCCTCCCAGTCTCCTTAGACAACTGGGGTCCCTGCCAGTGGACACAGTGCCCCAAGGCTGCCTCTGTGGGGCTCCTTGTTGTGTTTCAGATCTAAGAGCTCTTCTGTGCATTCCTTAGGATTGTCACGTACAAGATCACATTTGCACATGGACAGCCATAGTTTTGTTTTGTTTTGAGACAGGGCGTCACTCTGTAGTTCAGACTCCCTTTCAACTCACTATGTAGCTGGGCTGGCCTTGAACACATGGCGACCCTCCCGCCTCAGCTTCCTGGGTGCTAGGATTTGCAGGTGTGCATCACCAAGCCTGGCTGAGATATTGGGTTTCGTCACGTGCTTCATCTGGACCTGCAGAGATGATGTGTGGTCTTCCTTCGTCAGTATGTGCTGTGTTGAGTTTTGCATGCTGGATCGCATCTTTGGGTGACAGGTGTCATTTGTTAGTGTTGTTGAGGGTTTTCATACCCTTGTTCACGAGGAATCTTAATCTGTGGCTTCCTTTTCTTGTCAAGAGTTTGCCTGGGGGCTGGGGAGATAGCTCAGTGGTCTAAGCACCTGCCCAGCAAGTGCAAGGCCCCTAGTTTGATCCCCAGTACTGCATGCCCTGCCAGCCCCAGAACCAGGCATGGTGGCACATGCCTGTGATCCCAACGCTTGGGAGGCTGAGGCAGGAGGATCACAGAGAATATGAGGCCAGCCTGGGCTACAAAGTGAGCTCAAAGCCAACCTGAGCTATACACCAAGATCCTATCTCAAAAAGACCAAACAACAACAATAACAACAACAACAAAGAGTTTGCCTAGCATAGTATCAGGGCGATGCTGGGCTCCTGTGATGCCTTGCCAAGCATCCCTTCCTCTCCTGTGTTGGGGAGAGTTTGTAAAGGGTTCCTTAGATGTCAGAGTGTGGGAATGTGGGCCTGGGGCTTTCAGGGAGCTTTTATTTGTTTACTTACTTACTGGCATCCAGTTTGTGACCTCCTTGTAGTGTTTCTATTTCTATAAGGTTGGAGTAATGTCCCCTCTGAGTTTAATCATTCTGTCTTCTCTCTTTTCCTAAGTGCAGCCAAAGATCTGTCCATCTTGTTGATTTTTTTCAAAGCCATCTTTTGGGTTTGCCAGTTTTCTCTGTGTCCTCATTTTTATTTTTATTTTTTTTTATTTTTTTTTATTTTTTTGGCGGAACCGGGGATTGAACTCAGGCCCTTGCGCTTGCCGGGGAAGCGCTTATTCCACTAAGCCATCTCCCCGGCCCCTGTGTCCTCATTTTTCAGCAATGCTATGCATCAAAATCAGATTTGCTCTTGTCACCAAGCCGTACCCTCACCCTCATTCTGCCTTTGCCTTTTGGAGGCAGGGTGTCTGGGTTGCCCAGGCAGGAGTGGGAACGTCAGTCCTCAGCCTCTTGAGTAGCTGGGATAGCAGCCCTGTGCCACTGTGCCAGCTCCTGCTCTGCTGTTCCTGCCACACATGCTGGCTCTGCACATTTTGCTGGAGAGTGACAACTGCGCCGCCCAGCTTTCCAGGAAGTATTTGTCCTCATCACGTAGCCATGGAGACCTGTGGAACGCTGGATGGGAGCCAGGATAAGGAAGTGCTGATCGCAGTTGGGTTGTGTCCAGAGAACTTTGCTAGGAGCTGGATGGGGGGGGGGAGGTGGGCGAGGTCAGCCGGCTGTGGGAGTACAGAGAGCCCCGCCTCTGCCCCACAGCCTGTCCCCATCACCTAGATCATAACAGCACTTCAGAGCCAGGGTTGGCGTGCAGGGGGAGAGTTTGATTGGAGTCTACTCACCTACAGCTTTGCCCAGAAAATGGTCAGAATAGGACAGATCAGCACGAAGGTGCCTTGACAAGCGGTGCTTAGCTGGGTTTAGGCAGAGTCAGCTGTGGAGGCCACTGTGTGACCAGAGCCGCCGCGGCCAGTTAGCGTTGCTCACGCCGTGGCCACCTGCACCTGGTGCGCTCTTGCAGTGGCCTCCTCCGGGAAAGCAGCTGCTGCCCTGTTCTATGGGCCATGCTGTCTCTGATGCCATCGTCACACTGAGTGGGAAGCCAGGACTTCCGCGTGCTGCTTGACGCTTAAGGACAGGACAGGACTGCGGCCCTCATGTTAGGCCATGCCCAGACCTGGACCCACACGGCCACTCC